TCAGAACCAAAGAAGAGGTGGGAGACAAAGAAGATTTAGACTCTGAACAAAGAAACACCCAATTCTTGACACCCTTTCCCTTCATGGCCTTGGACTGAGGCTGTGGGAAAAATACATAGGGAGGGGGGAAAGTGTCCAAAACACAGGTCAGAGACTCCTCTCAGCAGTTCTATGCTGCGCAAGGTGGAGAATTAGTGCTACACACCAGGAAGAGGGCAGCAGGAATCGCTCTGCTGGGACAACCCAAAAGACCTCACTAAGAACATTCAAATCGGAGTTGTGCGAGCACATGGATTAAGATGATTCTCTCCACGCTCAGGCCTGGCACCTCATCATCCTGCATATCTTCAATAAACAGTTTACAAAAACTGGAGACAACAAACAGTTACTAGTCAAGAGTTCTTAACAACCAACAAGTTCCGAGAGGCAGACAAGTAGGTTTCCCCTTGTTTTAAACAACCCAATCAATTGGTCTTTCATTAAGTGACTACTGTATCATTTAACAATTTCCCATTAAACTATTTCTAATATTAATCTTCTTCCACTGCACATCACCTTGTTATTTGCTTTTGAAAACCACAATTCTTTTGTCCTCACCTCATTAATATTTTGTTTCTATCACCCTCCCTGTGTTAGTGCAGGGCTACTAACACAAAACACGCAAGGTAACTATTAACATGCACTATGCCCTTTATCAGGTCTCCAATAATACAAACTCAATAGGGGAAAAAAAAAAAAACAAACAAAAAAACCTTAACACTATTTGTATTAATAGCACTAATAAGTGTTAACATCAACAGTAACTTTGTAAGAGCCTTGAATTCAGTTAGCTTGCTAACCATGGCATAAAATATACTAAAGTTACTTTCCAGAAGTTTCATGAAAAATTATGACACAAAAAAAGGAGTAAATATACAAATGCCTAACTTACAGCAAGGGGATACTAGCAGACAGTATCATTGCTTGCCTTCTGTATAACTGGTTGTTACAGCTCCATAAAAGCGCTGCACAGAAAATGGAAAAGTAGGAAACAACCAAACAAGAATCTGGAGGGTCAGTTATGACTCAGAGAAGGGCAAAAGAAAGAAAACTAAGAAGAAGCTGTCAGCAAAGTAAACATTCTGCATAAACTCCCCAGCAACTGAATCTGAAAAGGCAAGTCCAGATATTTGGATCCAAACATATTCTTCATTCCAAGTATTAGAATAAATATCAATGCTAATGGACTGCCATGCTCATTAACAGCCATGCTGCCACAAATCAACAGATAAGTACAAGATACTTATTTGTTACTGTCAAAATACAAATGGACCGATTTGAAAAAAAAAAAAAATTATCTACAGCAACACCAATTGTGGACTACAGAACTAGTAAACTGGCTATACTGAAGAGTTATGAACGTTAGAAATGGCATTACAGCGGCCTTTCAGAATACAAACAAGGATTTTAAATTTAGCAGAGAATTTCAGGTACTGTTGCCTACATCACCCATAAGGCATTCAAATCTGCCTGGATTTAACCCTATACGACATTCTGAAAACCGACCCAACAACAAAATTAAAACAGTCTGGTCATGGATTGACAGTAAGCATAGGTTACCAGCAGGTCATTCGTAGGTCCATTTTAACATTCCCATTAGCAATTTGAAAGAGGATGGGAGTGGCAAAGGCAAAGAAGCCAGAGGACACCGAACTGGGTGGGGCAGTAAACAAGGACAAATATGGAAAAAACACACCAGGTTTTGATGTAAAGATCTAAGAACATTTCATACAGAGGTGAAAATTGAGCAGCACTAAGCACTCTTCCTGAACATATTTATACAGACTCTACATTCACACCGCTCTTCTTCCCAAGAACTAGCTTGCGCCCAGATACTAGCTACTGTTGAATAGCTCTCTTACAACAGAGCGATACTGTAAAAGTGTGTATTGGGAAAAATTACGCTTAACCATCTAAAACATCTCTTGAAGATGGAATGCCGTTTTGGTGCAGGAATCGTGTTGCAAAAATTGCTCACCCAAGACAGCAGAAAGCATGGCGCTGACACATCCAGAAGTAATCTCAAAAAAACTTAATGAACACTACAGAAACTTATGTGTTGTCTGGAGGAGTACTGTAGGTGAAAGCAACAGCGTTTCCATAGCTAGTGAATTAACTGGGTGTGTGCTCCTTCACAAGAAAAGAGGTGATCGAGTGTCATCGCGCTAGAGGCACACACGAACACATTTTATGCAAAATACTACTTTCACAAGCGAGCGTTCTGCAACACACCGTGGAAAACAGAAGGAGAGATCGAGAAGACAACGCTTACTTCACGTTTTATTTGGCTCAGGCCGGAAAACAACACCAACCACCACAAAAAATATTTATTATTTCAGAAGAGCAGCCCCAAAACGCAGCCTGACCTTACCCAGCTGACGGCGGGCGCCGGGACGCCCCGGCCTGTTCTGGGGGAGCAGCGGGAGGGAAGCTCAAGGCACCCCCGCTCGGGTACAAAAAAATTCGGTTTTTAGGAGCGCGGGAGCCGCTTCCCTCAGAGGCCTTCCCCCTCCCCTCCCTCCCGGACCCCCTGCACCGGGGCCGGCCCGGGGCAGCGCGGCCCACCGGCTCCCGCCGCGGCCTCCCCGCTTCCCCCCGCCACCCCCACCACAGGCCGCGGTCCTGGAGCTCCCGAACAAAGGCCCCGGCGACGAGCCCCAGGGCCCCCTCCCCGGCCC